GGTCTAAGATGAGGTTCGTGGGTCCATGAATACTACCACATGTACGAAACTTTGTAAGAATGTATGGATAGATATTTGTTACTCTTTCACGCAAAAACTACTTAATAGATTTGAAAACAATTTGGTGTGCGGAGGTCATAAGGTTAGGTCACAATGATAAGAATATTCATTGTTTATAAACAACCAATTGTGGGTAGTTCGTAAATGCCGGTACCAGGCTGTACCGCGGACCGCGACTTTCAGTTTGGCCCTAGCTGGTTTCCTGCATATCGATTTTTTTTTAAATTTATACCATTGACCTAATTTTAGGGTATTGCGTATGATGTATTTTCAACTGATTTCAAAATAAACGAGATTTTTAATTCAATTGATAACTTCGGCCTTACTTCCCTTTGATTTATATCTGAATATGAGAATAAAATAATTTTCGTTTTTAAATTGTTTATAATGGCCCCTACTTTTATTAATATACATATATTAATTTGTAAGCAATACGTACATATGCATTTTTATAACAGTAAAAAAAAAGGTTTCAAATTATAATTTAAACAATCGGTTTTTGTGGGAGTAATTTTAAATCAATTACTTTGAAATGGAGTAACGGTAAGTTTATAAAGTTTATGGCCAATATCCAGTAAGTACAATACCATACATTATGTTTTGATTTCAAACATACTTTGTCAGTAGCAAATATTGAATTAAAGAATGGAATTATAAAACTGATATTATAAACAAGGTTTCATTTCGCATTTAGTATTGATAACAAGTACATATAGCACCTCACCTCACCTCAAGAAAAAAACACAGGAACGAACGTCGAAATGTTTCGTAGACATGTTAAATTAAAAAAAAAAAAATTATTTAGAATTTAAGGAATTAGGAATGAATTATCAAAAATAAACCTTATCGTGTGTAGAAAAAAAAAAGAATAATAGGACAAAGAAGTTCACAGTGTCACAGGTCACTTGACAGACATTGATATATTGGGGCCTGATCCCTTAAATGCAATATATACTTTCATACATGACGCGCTGCATGCGCTAAGCGAAGTTAAAACTTCGGCTTGTATTCTGGGGTGGGCATCAGGCAATTCTGGTGTGGGCACGAACAGTGGTGACCGTCGTCAATTTACATGAACACCGTGGATTTTTTTATATCCTGAAGACAGCAAATAAGCATATAGATAGATGGTAAATGGTCACTGGGGCTTATGGAGGTTTGTAACATCAGAGGTGTCATGTGCGCTATGCCAACCATGAAGAAACTTTAATATGCTCTTTTTGAAGAATCTCATACTGTAGTCTCTTAGGAAATCTTCGGCAGGGAACTCATTTCACAGCTTGAGCGTTCACGGGGAAAAACTCTTTTGAAACCGCACTGTACGCGATCATTTAGGTTCTAGTGTGTGAGGATCAATTCCCAATCGATGACGAGCAGTGCGAAAATAAAAGGTAGCTGTGACAATTTCTCAGAACACAATCCGTTATACAAGAGGTAAAACACACAAAGGGAGATAAAGTCTCGCCTTAGATTAAGAACTGGAAACCACCTGTGAGCTTGGGATCGTCCAAAATTCTCATAGCCCGTCTTCGAACCAAGTCAAGAGGACCAAGCTATTATATAGGTAATCTAACCTACAGATGAGAGTTGTACTTAATGAAGAGGTCGAACTTGCGATTTTTACAATAATCATAAAGACTGAGATATAAAAGTTTATTCAGAACAAAAAACTACAGTTAAATATGAGAATATTTTTTTTTTGGATCACTTAAAGAGATGATCAAACCTTGATTGTTAACATTGGCCTTTAAACAATGATCCCATTCAATAATACAATTCGAAAATAAAGGTTGCACAGTGGACGCACGATCGAAAACTCTCGTCCATTGTAATAAAGTTCAAATTGGTGAAACGTGTTCCTCTTTATTGTCTTTACTTATAATACTTATTAACGTATTGTTGGATCACGTTTGTAACATCGTGTCCGCCCTACATAATGATCACGCGAACTCCATCTACTGGTTGGTTGGTATTTGAACGAGGAAGTGGTGAAACGTAGCATTACTAATTTGGTTATAGGATTGGCTAGAAATTTCGCCTAATAAGATTTCAAGACTTGGCTAAAAGAAGCCTTAGTGAGATTTGTTTTATTTATAATCTAAAAAAGGTATAATTACTAAAATTATTTGTAGATTATTTACTAATTATTGTTCAGGTAAAAAATACGTTTCTATAAATTTTATAATATTGCATGTATGCAATGTTAGGATTTTGATATGCAAAAGTAATTAGCAATTTTTATTGTAATAAAATTAATATGAGAAAATAAATCCTATTGTTGGTTTTAACAAATAAAAAAAAAAGACTTTATATGACTGATGAAATCATCGATAAAAATCTTATCTGTTTACCTTATTTTTAATACCTCTGGTATTGCAGGTGTTCATAGGCTACGGTAACCACTTACCATCAGGTGGGCCGTATGCTTGTTTGCCACCTCAGTGGTATAAAAAAATTTGAGAATCATACATAAAAAAAATCATTGCAATACTTCGTACTAAATCCACCCGTTTAGGCTGTTTATCAATTTTAGATTTATTATATGAAATCATAGAAAATAAACTAGATAAAATAGAATTACGAAAAGATGTAGGTTAGAGATTACATTATCAGCACCACAGCACCACCATACATATAAAGATCTAGCTTCGTTTAATGGCGTTCAATGGATCGATGTTCTCGCGTGATAAACATCGAAACTTGTTATTTGGGTTACAACGAATTCGCTCGCGACGTATGGAGGTCGGAAATTAATAGCTTTCGATTTTTTGTGCCCTCACACGTCACCGAGCTGGCGAGCCTTTATCACAAACAGCGATATTTGGAGCAAGGTTTCCGAAAGAGTTTGAGAAAACAGAACAGCTCGGTGGACTTGTTAGCACGTATCCATTCCATGGCTTAATGTTAACTTTTAACTTTTTGCCTCCACACCTATTAAATTCACTGCTATACCTCAACCTTCAAACCGAAATACAGCCATACAATACTGCACTATATAACCACAATTTTTAATTCTAATAACCAAAAGAATCTCAATTCGATTGCTTTTTTTTTGATGTTTGTTTTAAAAACTATTTTAAAGAATTTTCACAATATTCACAATTAAGTCACTCTTTCTACTAACTTCTTTTTAAGGCAAAATTTAAAATTATTTACGATATCGTCATTAGTATAAGATTCAGAGTAAATAATGATATTCTTTAATCTATTTATAAACTAGACCGCTCGCTTAGATCAAAGGGTTCGACGGACAATTAATTATAAACTACTAAAACGTAGTAGATGTCTCGTGTATACAATCAGATATTATAAAATTAAAACGAATAATGCTTACTATAAAACTTTTTCATTTTTATTAACTGATCCTCTCAATTTATTAGTGAATAAACGCTCTTTAATTTAAAATATTTGTTTAATTCCGCTGCCATTACTATGTGTGCTACTACAGACATTTGACGCAAAGGGCTGATCACAATTAGTAGAGGGTCTACGAGTATGACTTTCCCTATTAGTCATTAATCTCCAATCATTATTTAGTCTAATAAGTTATTTAGTAGTTTACCTGTAAATGAGGCATCATCAGGCAATTATTCAATCAAAACTTGGAAGCCTAGTGACTATTTGTGCTTTTATTTCGTTTTCAATTCAACAGTTTTTATTATCATCGTTCTATCTTATATTAGTAACTGGCTATCGTTTACATTTAATATAAGTTGATACACTACTCCTTCTTTATTTATCAAATCAGCAGTCTTCATCATCATCGTTTCATTTTAGATCACTAGTCTAAAGTTTCTTTCTTCATCCAATAAAAGAAAATCCGCCATTCAGTTTGCGACTTTCTCATACACTTAGCAATTTTGTTTTCCACTAAATAATGTATTTGACTTTTTAAATGTGGTCATAGAACGTGATGATTTTTTTTTGCCATCAATATTGCATTTCAAATAAACGAGAAACGTGCAAGTTTTTTTTAGTACAAGATCGTTTGCTCAATTTTTATATTCCTTCGTTTTTTGCTGCACAACGATGTTAAGGTCAGCAAACTCATTCATGTTATTTATTTATGTACGTTATTTATGTATATTTTTAACGTTTAAATATTTCGATTTCATTCTTAATATAGGTCATGTTTTATAGTCTAAATAAACATAAGCTAGAATGACACTAATAAATAAACAGCAAATCAACAAAATAGTTAAAAAAGGAAGAACTTGAATCTGTTTCAACATAAATTGAGTCTAAGTGTTTTGGGTTACGCTCCTAGATGTTTATTATTGAGGAACCATCTCAACGGGTATTCTAGCTTCAAGAGTAAGCGATTCGTTTCTTTGAGCGACACTCGATCTTGGGATCTTAGAAATCTATAGAAAGTTTTTATTTTTATTATACATTTAAACTCAATGACTTATTTAAATATGTTATATACTCTGATAAATTTAAAAAAAAATCCTGGTTGAAACAATAAGAACAAATAAAATGGCTAGTGTTTGTAAATTGACATATAAATGTTATAGTAAGGGTAACCAGCATTTAGCGTTCCATTGTTTCTGCTTACCCTAATGGGAGACAGACGTGATGTATGCAGTACTAATCTTCAAGTTTTACATTCGGCACATTTTGAAAGTCTACCTTTCTTTTTTACAACACAGGAGTAAACGAGCATGCGAGTGACCTGATGGTAAGTGACTACCGCCGCCTATGATCACTTGCAACATCAAAGGTATCGCAGGTCTACTGCCGGCCTTTTAAAAAGGAATATACTCTTTTCTTGAAGGTTATGATGTCGTATCGGTTCGGAAATACTGCTGCTGGAAGTTGGTTCAAAAGAGTGGTTATGCGTGGAAGAAAGTGACCGCCTCTCATCCAGATGGTTTAGATGGAACTTTAGTTTACCGTTTTTCTTTTACTATGAATATAATATTATTTAAAAACTTTACCTGAATCGTCGTCATGGCCTGTATTCAGTTGCAAGGCCAAAGCTCTCAATTGTTTATACACTTGTACTGCTTCACTCCTCAGCCAGCCATCGTCTTGGTCTTCTGGCTCAGCTTCCATTTCAGCATGGAGGGACCTGGCAGGGTCTGTCGTATCGACAGGATCTGGTGCTCCGATCCTTTCAGCCAGAGTATCGTGAGATCTTTGGAGTCGCTCTAACTCTTTGAGCGTATTTTGGTAGAGGTGTTCCTAAACAAAAAATTGGATTAGAAGATAATAAATTGGACACTGTCTAAACGTAATTTTATTTTACTTGTTACTACTATAATATGGAATTGCAAATAGATGACGTATGTACAAGGAAAACATGACTTTCCATACCACCAGATTATTTGGCATTCTAAGTTGCATAAAACAAAATATTTAAAGAAAATTGGTATTTATTTATTAGGGTCTTATAGACAACAGTAGAAAGAAGCCAAAACAATAAAATTTGGAAATTTTGACCTTCTGTATGTTCCGGTACCACATAAAATTACATTAGTGCACTAAATTGGAAACAGTTTCCACAATTGTATTATTGAAGATCTAACTTAAAATCTGATGTATGTTTGTGTGTAAATTTTATCAAAATCGATTCCGTAGTTTATTTTTGAAATTAAAGTAACTTGGTTTAGTAGTGACTCTGCCATAGTTAAACACATTTGTGTATTTACTGGTGGTGGGCCAAACGTGGTTTATCTATATATGTTATTTATTTTTTTATTTATTCATTCATGGTTATATTAAGTGTGACATTCACCAAAACAAAAACCGTTGACAGATACATATACTCATACATGACTACCTCATTAGAGATTAGACACGATTCGAAAATCGTATGTTCGCGACTGTCAAATGATTCTTTTTTATGTTTATTTGTACTGTTGTATTGTTCGCGACTTTACACGAGTAGTATCATGGGTTTCCTTTAAGTTGAAATTTTCCAAAATCCTTCCAGCGGATGCTCACGTTATAAAAGTTAATTTTAACATGTAGTATTGTAGTCATTTTACTAATATAATTAACTAGACTTACTAATAACTAAATGATGTCCTATATATGAGAGATAGAGAAACTGAAGTCCTTTATTTTTTACAAGTTGTTACTATGTACTTGGAGTCTCGGTATCGAATAAATTATAAATAAGTGGAATAATTAAAAGAAAATAAAGTCATTATAAAATATCGATAATATATAAATAGAATATAATATATATCATTATTAAATATGAAAATTAAAAGAAAAGCCTTAAAGCTTAAAGATAAAAAAAATATTAAATAAAATAAACCTATAACCTAAATTTTAACTTTCTAGACTTAGTAGCTTTGATTGTGCGTTTGACTCGAGACAAACTGTTTTATAAGTATAGATAACGGTTAGGATTTAATTAGAAGAATCAATCGTATAGTGTTAATTAGATACATAATTAACGTTCACGTGATATTAACTAGGAACTGACAAGGTAAAAAGTTTTAAATGATTACGAGTACACAGCATTGTATGCGTGCGGCCCTGAGATATGGCTTAATGTTAACTGAGCATTAAACATCCAACAAAAGTCATTATAAAAATAAAATTTCAATAAAAAAACACATTAATAATGTTGCACAGTTCGTGAAGAGGTTAAGATGATTTTAATTACCTACCATTGTTATTAATAGAGGAACTTGTATTGCTGAAAGCGAAAGGGGATTACCAGTTGCAGCATTTGGCTATACTGAGGCTAATCCGTTTCCTTTACTGAGTTGCCTTCATGAAGACGTTAGAATAGTAGCTACCTACGTTGAAATTGAATTAGGATCGTAGATTCTATTCTTTATTTAGGAGCATTCGTTTGAAGAAAATTCATGTTTATATTTTACGCTTTTTACAACATTACTTTTCAAAACGTACACAGTACTATTGTCTAGACAAGTTTTCAACATTTCTTAATTAATAAAAAAAAACTGGCTTTTTATCTCTGTACTATTTTTATTCGTAAATGTATATATATTTGTATGAATCTACATCTACTTTGTTGCAAAGTATTTCGCATTTTGTTTTTACAATTATTAAATATTCCAATTCCAAAATTATAGTAATAATTTAATAGTCACTTTCTATATTATCATTTAATATCACTGTAAGAGCTTTTTTTTTTTTAAATTATCACTGTAATACGATGATTTAACAATAGAATGAGAAATGTGAAAAATTGTTTAATCATGTACAATTTCTTGTAAGTACATGCAGTAACTTTATTACTTGGTAGTGGAATTTAATTTATTGTTAATCGAACAATAAAAAAGCTAATATCGTGAATAAGTTTATTTGCTTTTTAGAATTATATTTTTCGCAGTTAGTTATCTTTTCCAAGTAATTCTATAGTTTAGAAATCTGTTGCATTATTTTAATATTTACGTTACATAAAAAGTTATTTTGTAAACGATATTGTTTATGAATTATTTTTAATTCCTCTATCAAAATTTTTATTATTTGTATATTACATATTCAAATGTAACAAAAGATTAAAAACTGATTATTAAATTTCTAGTAGCAATTTTCCTTAGAATTTCTATCATTGATTTCGTCTCATTTTAAATGATAGCTTAGTCCACAGCTGTCCACATTATGGTCCGCGGGCCACATGTGGCCCGTGGCTTGAGTAGATGCGGCCCGCTAAATCTTTTCTACCTATTACCAATGTCAATGTTTCTCGTCTAGCTACTACCAATATTGTAGTTGACAGAATTGTAAAAGGTAAATCAAACGTAAAAATAATACAATAACAACTAAATGATAGCTGCTTTTTGTTTTTACAAATATTTTGCGGGCCCTCAATGAATTAAGTGATTTTTATTGGTCCTAGATCCTATCTAGTTTGGACAACTCTGGCTTAGTTTACAAAATTATTAGATTCAAATTTGCAATGTCCATAGTCGTTATATTATTGAGACGTGGAACAATTATTGTTTATTACTACTTTAGGTCATTACTTGTCAAATGTTTGGCTTGTTTAAAAAAATAATGATATGCTATTTCAATACCGGCAGTTGCCTCTTGAAATTGCTACATGTCGGATTGATGTTTTTAGAGATTGTAAATCGAAAGGTTTCATTCCAATATGTTGCAATAAAACATTATCAGAGAGCGATGTGTTGTATTTAATGAGATCGAGATTTGTCTGTTTAGTTGATCTTATCACACAACCCCACTCCAAATTGACCTACTTTCTGTGTTCTGCTAGCCAATGCCAGTACTATTGAATGACTAAATGGAAGTTTGCGAAAATGAACTAAATAGATACCTAGCGCTAATTAATGAGTTAAGTAGGTCTTAGGTTAGTTATGGAATATAGCTTTTAAGAAAGGCATGTAATTAACCTAAACTTCTTTTTGGTCGCTTACTTAAGTAATGTATAAATTTAAATACAATAAGTAAAAAAGAAGAAAAGCATGAAGATATATCTTTTAGTTACTTGAATTTTCGGATAATTAATATAATGTGATTAATTTTATTATATAAAAGATTTTTATTGATTTGTCATCGAAATTTTAAATTTATGATGGTAAAAATATATTTGGAAATATAAAAAGCAAAATAAAATACTAAGTAGTAGCAAAATATTTAGTGATAGATTTAGATGCATGTTCTGTGCATACATTGCAATAACTGCATCGTCATATACTTGAAGTAATGTATCTAGTTGATAATTACAAATAAGTAATGGATACCAATATTTATGTAAATTTAAAGTAGAACAATCAAGCATATACATTTCTGGGTTTAATTTTACGAGTACGTACGTAACATAATTAGATAGTCGAGCAAGTTACGACGGTTGAAGTAATAGTTGCGTGAGAGTGGACAAAAATACTTTCTCATATTCTTGTGTTATTCACAAGAAATTTCCAACTTTCCTCCAAAGGTCTAATTGGACCTCTTTGCAATTGCAGTGCAGTATTTTCTATATGTTATCTTCATGTACTTACGCAAAAAAAAAAAGTATTTCTATCAGTTATATAAATACTTAGATTCATAGTACAAGGTATGCACAGTTTGGGACTACATCGCTTTTTGTAATATTTATTTATTTGTTTTATTTATTATTTATTGCACAATAAAATTTTGTACAAATGGCGAGCTTAATGCCATATGGCATTCTCTACCAGCTAACCATAATATGTGTAAAAGTATTTATTTATTAAGCTTTCTGTTATTGAAATTAGGTACATGTCAGTAACATGTACCTAATTTCTTTAAATATGCTCTATTCTAGGTCATATACTTCTGTATAAATACCACACGACACCTAGTTTTTATTTTAAAGTAACTTCCAAAAAGCAGTTTTTATTTTGCTTGGTGTTTCAGTTATATATTTGTAAATTCTGAATAGACTTTAATATTTGATATTTTTTTGCAAACCATAGAGTTTATTTCCATGTTGGTTTCATGGTTATGATTGAAATTGCTTTATCTGCAAATCTTAATTTATATTTCAGTCACGTAACTATTTTTCAATTATCTTAATAGTATAATACTTCTCAAATACATTTGTTGTCATACCTGTTCTTTCAACTGCCTCTCCAAAGCCACAATCCTGTCGTTTGCTTCCTCCAATTGCTGCATCAGGTTTTCTTTGTCGTGCAGGGATGTTGTCAACCTCCGTTCGAGATCCGCTTTTTTATCGCTGACCAGGGCCAATTCTGCTTTGAGTGACTCCAGACTGTGTACATGGTCCTGTAAGAAGAAGTCAAAAATAAAATCAACGAAATTCAATTACCTATACGCAATGATATTATAATTAAAAGAAATAAAGGAATATACGTTACAGATGCGTCTGAAATCAAATCTGGGGAAGACGCTTATTAGCATTACTATAACATTTGAATACACTTCCGCGCAAGTGGCAAACATTACTTGTTCCAGTTCGTCTCGTTAATATTATTTGACAATGTAGTAAAATATCTATATGTGCTGTTTGTGTTCAGAACATATTTTTTATTAGTTTTCTGAGCATATAACGAACCTGCATTGTCTTTATATATCTCCTTATACACTACTGGCAAAAATTAAGTGATATTAAAAAAAAAAAACATTTTCAACAAGAGATAACGCGGAGAAAATATATTTTTCGTTTTTTTTTTGATGATTACTTAAGAACTGCTTACGCTAAAATATTTATCAGTTTAGATATGAAAACTAGATACTCAGAGCTACAATTTTCATTTGTTTAGATTTTCTTTACGGCCATTTTTCTCTGAGTTATCCCCTGTTGAAAATCACCCAAAAATTTGGAATATTTTTATTATCCCATAATTTTTACGACTAGTGTATTTATCATTTCATTTTGTCTAGAGCCTAGAAACTTCGCAAACTCACCTGTAAACTAGTCTTCCTCATGGAGCATTGGTCCTTCAGCCCCTCCAACTGTGACATGAGCTGTGCCTCCACTGCAGACGATTGCTTCAGTTGCGCTGTCAATCTTGAATTTTGCGCTGTCAATTCTGCTATCAGGCTGGCTTTTTCTTCATCTCGCTATTACGACAAAGAAAAATAATCTTATTTATTCGTATACAAAACGATATTTATTGGTATACAAAATCAATATACTACATCTATAGTAACGATAGTTTTAAGATTGTGCTCCTTAAAAAATAACTGACTTAAGTTGTAGCAAAACCAGTTTTTTTTTTATTTAAAATTTAAATTACTAAACTGATAAAAAATAAATTTCCAAATCTGTTTTAACAGACGGAGTTATGAGGTAAAAAACATTAAAAAAAACAACCGAATTAAGAACTTCCATTAGAATCGATCCTGCCTCCAAATCGATTTATAACTGAGGGAATACGTACGGAATGGTGTTTAAGAATACAGTGTGGTATTATATTCTTTGATGTCTATAGTACTAGTCATGATATACATATGAACTATCGTTACCAATTCTCATCAGAATGGTCTTAACCCTTCTTTGCATGATTTGTTTTATTGGTGAAATAAATCAAGGTGATATAATTCATGTTCAAAATTAAAGGCAAAATGGTTAAAAAATAAATTTGACAGCTATGTTTTTTTTTTCTGTAATGGACATTAAAACCAGGCACGATCAACTTAAAGTGAACTTGTTCTTTTATATAATTTTTAGGCATTCAATGTTATGATGGAAATGTCCACCATTATGCAAAGAAGGGTTAAGCTTATTTACCACTCCAAGTCTTCTCATATCAGCCGTTAACTGTCCTCTACTGAACATAGGCCTCTTCCTGTTGGGGGGTTTTGCCAGTAGTTACCATGCTTGGCAGGCAGGTTGACAATTGGAGCTAGACTTTTATGATATTTAAAGAGGGACGCTGCTGACTATCCCTCGACTATTAACTTTTTTTTTATAACTTAGAATGGCAAACAAGCTGACGGCCCGCCTGATGGAAAGTGGTAACCGTCGCCTATAGACATGAGCAGTACCATGGACATAACAGAGTATACTGTTTCGCCCATGATACCCCCCATGCGTTGCAATTCCTGAGGACTCTGGTGTTATTCCTCTGTACCCTGTAAATTCACGCTATATCCCACCCTTCAAACCGAAACATAGCCATGCAAGTGTTTGCATGGCTATGTTTTTGCTGCTTCACAATTGACTTTTGTACAAAGTCTCCCTCTGGTAACTTTAGTTGTAGTAAAATTAGCTATTTTAATTTAAAAACTAAACTGTTGAACCGATTATGATAAAATTTCTATGCGACCTATCTCCAAGTACGAGTATATCCTTTCAGATAAATAAAATCTTTTGTACAAAGTCTCCCTCTGGTGAATATTTATGTAAGAAAAAAGTTTCTAGGTTTATTGGTTTAGATATAGCAGTAAATAAATGTAAAGCTCGGTGTAGTGTCCTTTGTATTGCCAAAGATTAGATGCAGTGGAAGAAAATATATTTCGTAGGCGAAGGATAGGTGGACAGTTTTATGAATTTTTTATGTTCCTTGGCGAACAAGGTACGGCTTATTTGTTAGAAAGCGACGACCATAGATATAGCGTGAGATAGACGACGCATGTACCGCCATCTATAAGGGGCCTGTACGAAACAATTTGACACCTGTGTGCTTCGAAAATTCGAAACAAACGTCAAATGGTATAACCTTACCAAATTCAGATACACCTGCTTGCATACTTTATACATAAACTGTGTCAAATATATAATCTAGTAATGTAAAATTTGTTATTGTCAAATATTTGACATATGAAATATTTTCTGAACACTAGCCTGCTATGAATTGAGAAAAATAGCAATTGAGGATGTATCTTAGTCCTCTTTTTACTAATTATATTTGTATAAGAAGAAAGGAGCCAACTATATGATTTTCAGTTTTTATTTTATCATTCCTTCTAAGTTATTCCTTGTTCTTAGGTAATTCCTTGTTTTTGCCTCTTGAAAGCGACAACAGTACTGCTCATGTCTTTAGGCGACGGTTACCACTTTCCATCAGGTGGGCCGTCAGCTTGTTTGCCGTTCTAAGTTGTATAAAAAAAAAAACTGGTTTTGTTATAATTAAATTGTTTGATTATTTGTGTAATGTACCTAGGAAATATCTACTATAATTACATTACATCGAAAACCTATACGAATACGTAGTTAGATAGTTTATTATTTAATATCAGTCCAAGCCATTGGTCAAATAACCTATTGATTTATTGATCGACAACTTTATGGCGTGACATTGGATGGTGGACAGTATACAAATATACATATAATAGCGACCGAAGAAAAGATATTTTAATATAATGTTCTAGAGAAAACAAATGCGTAATTTACTAGTTTACCAATTTTGTGCTAGGTTGTAGAGATATCTAGTAACGTTGTAATATCCGATAACTATATATTGAGTTTTTCTGGACATTGATGACCACCCATTGCGATACCACTCATACCACTCATATCACTCATATTCATTATGAACGGGTTCTTCTTTTCGATATTAATATATCGCCGTGTAAGCCCCAGCATAGTATGGGCCTTCCTTTCCCGTGGGTGTCGTAAGAAGCAGCTACGACAGTGTAAGTATAGGGATGGGCAGAAAAATCCCTCTTAAAACATCTCCCAGAAGCCAAGGGAGACTATGTTATTAACAATATAAGTGTTATTGGGTCAATATATGTATAGATATTGTAACTACAATATATAGATAGGTATTGCTATATATCATCCATCTCTACTAGGTTGATATTTTACTAAGGGCGGATTCGAGCAAACGAGAATAAAATTTATTCTTAGATTAAAGTGCTACTTATTCGAGAATAAATTAATTTTGCGTTTTACCATTTACAATTCTAAGATTCACGATCTTATTCGGGAATAGCTACTATACTGCTGTTTTGCGTGGTATAACAGAGATATTCCAAGAATAGTAAAATAAAATGGCGTCCCAGGACCATATGATCTATGATTCGTAAGCTGTCAAATGCGTGTGGTGATTTCTATATGTAGATACAATTAAGTACTGGTAATCTCGGTTTCGTTTCATTTTCGTATAAAATAAATAAAATGTTATATATAAAATATTATAGTTGGCCTCCACTAAACAGTAACTCTCTCTCCGATTGTAGCCAATTTGGACTATGTTTCCATTTATCTTTAGCCATTTTCTTGCAAAATAAGTAGAAAAAGCAGATACAATACAACAATAACTAACAAAATAAAACAAATGTAGATGTACATGGCTGTCACTTGTCATTGACAAGATGACAGCATTTTTTTTTCATTCGCTACAATACAACAAAAGTAAGTTGATATAACATAAGCTTTGATGTCGTCTCCTTGTAGGGTAACGTTAATTTGTCGGGTATCATTTTCGGTCACCGTTCACTTTATTAATTACGAATAGTTATTCCAAGTATAGTTATACCTTAGACTGCATGGAAAAATGACTATTGATTTATTCGAGATTAAGATCATGGAATAGACTATTGGCGGTAGTTATGCGTGTATAAACTAAAGTTTGGTCAAATCCGCCCTAAGAGTACGATATGTATTAGAAAATAAAGTATTTACTTTTAATTAATACAAATTTTCACATACGTTATACTATCTTGGAATTTTGTACAACGCATAAAACAACATTGGTATAAACACTAAGCGTGGTTAATCCTCTTAATGAGTGTAACGACTTCAGTTTTAGAACTCTAAGCATACGGTATTGGCCCTTCTGTATTTATTGTTTAGAGTCTAATTCCCTACGGATATCTTATAGTTTTTGTTGAGAGATTTTGGAAGGACGCTAGAATCCGTGACGAGTGGCTTGCGACATTTAATTCTTGGTGCAAAACGTAAGTTGACTCACAATAGATATTAATATTGTTTAGCCAATAATATGGCGAAACACCTAGGCTCTCCACAATGGATATGGAATCCGTACTACATTATGATGATTATCATATCAGCGTGTCCAGCGCTGAACATAGGCCTCCCCTATGAGGCAGGTTTTACTAGTAATTGCCATGCCGGGTAGGCGGTTTGGCAACCACAGTTAGCCTTTTTGCCATGCTTGGTAGGTGAGTTGGCAACCACTTTTAGTCTTTGATAATGTTTTAAGAGGGACGCTACAGCCAAATTCTCAAACATTTAGTGCCCTTTCTCACCTCTCACGACACCTACGGGAATGAAAGGCGCGGCCCATTGCACCCACCCGTATGCCGGGATCACACGGTAACTATACTGTTTATATAATATATATATATATATATATATATATATATATATATATATATATATATATATATATATATATATATATATATATATATATATATATATATATATATATATATATATATATATATATATATATATATATATATATATATATATATATATATATATATATATATATATATATATACACTTGCTATATTGGACTGAGAATAATAATATAGGCTACTTTTTGAACGACTCTAAAAAAGAACGAGTGTTTTTATTCTGATTAGAAAACAAGTCACGCAGACGAAACTATATAAAAAAAAAATAAGATCAAAATAAACATAAAAACGCGCCATTGAAAAACCGTCAATTCTTATCGATTTGTAAAGATACTCCATCTAAATATATTTGATCAATTCAAAATTGATACATAAGTATTCCGCTGAATCTAGTCACTTAAGATGTACCGAGTAGTTAACCATAAGCTGAGGAAGTGATGGCATCCTGTACTTGATGGGAATTTGAGCGCAGGATGCTGATAAGGCCGTTTCATATTATAAAAGTTAATTGAACGTATGGAAGTGGCAGCGACAATTTCGTAAAGAGAAATACAAAAATCACCAGCACAAAGTATGCAATTAGTCCTCAATCTATACGTTTGGCCTTTCTAACTATCAAATTTGGATTATCTTTGTTCAAATAGACTTGTTTACAAGCACTTTTAAATCGTTATACCTTTTTGTCTTTCGATACCCACGGAAAAGGAAGAGGTTGTCTATACCATGCCGGAACCATACTAAGGCGACTAAGGGGACCTATGGTCGAGGGATGGGCAGCAGCCTCC